TTTAAGCAGTTTCAATCTGCTGGTTGAGGTCAACAAGAAAAAGCTGATTGATAACTGCACCCAGCTTCAAGTCCACGGAATCATCTCAAACTACTCTGTTTACAACATATGCATCGAAAAGCCAGATGATTGCATGTTTTCTGCATTACTGCATTGTTCCCCAAAAATTTTAAAGCCATCTTATAATAGCGAAGATGTTCCTCACTCTGTCACGCATAAAATTGTCACAACTGGTCAACCCGTCAGAGCACGTCCTCGTCGACTACCACCCGACAAGTTAGCAGCAGCCAAAGCTGAATTCGAACACATGATGCAATTGGGCATCATCTGGCCATCCAACAGTCCTCAGCCCTCACCAATACATATGGTACCAAAAGCTGAGCATGACTAGCGACCATGTGGGGATAACCGACATTTGAATAACGCCACTGTCCCAGATCGTTATCCCATTACGCACTTGCATGATTTCTCTCTAATACTGCAAGGTAAAACTATTTTCTCCAAAGTGGATTTAGTCAGAGCTTATCACCAGATACCAGTCGCTCCTGAGGACATCGAGAAGACAGCCATTATAACACCTTTTGGCTTGTTTGAATTCTTACGAATGCCTTTCGGGCTGAAAAACGCTGCACAGACTTTTCAGCGCTTCATGGACCGAGTCACGCAGGGCCTTGACTTTGTGTTCGTTTATATCGACGACGTAATAATTGCTAGCAAGTCGGAAGAGGAACATAAGAAACATCTTAGCACTTTGTTCCAGCGTTTCGAACAGTATGGTGTCGCTATAAATCCTAAGAAGTGCATTTTCGGTGCCTCTTCTATTCAATGCCTAGGACACTACATAACTGCCGAGGGAATCAGGCCTACTGAGGAAAAGATAGATACAATCAAAAACTTCCCCCAACCAGACTCTTTGAAGAAAGTCCGACAATTTTTGGGGATGTTTAATTTCTATTGACGTTTTATTCCTTCTATCGTCCAACCTTTAACCGATCTCCTTAAAAGTGATCCTAAAAAATTTCAATGGTCAGAGCAAGCACACGAATCTTTCTGCAACGCTAAAGACGCTTTATCTAAAGTCGCTATGTTGTCCCACATCAACCCCGAAGCATCCCTTATCTTGTGCACAGATGCCTCCCAAGTAGCTGTGGCGCGGTGTTACAGCAGAAGATTAATGGTGACGTTACCCCCACTTGCTTTCTTTTCGAAGAAGTCAGAACCGGCTCAGACACGTTACAGTACTTTTGGCACAGAACTGTTAGCTATCTATCTAGCAGTGAAACATTTCAGCTTCTTATTACAAGGTCGACATTTTACTATCTTAACCGACCATAAGCCTCTTTGTTATGCTTTTAGCACTTCGTTGGACAAACACTCCTCGAGAGAAGCCAGACAACTGGATTATATATCACGATTCTCGACAGACATCCAGTTTATCAAAGGAGATTCCAATATTGTAGCCGATTCTTTGTCTCGATGTGATGTTAATCAGCTTCTATCTTCGATAGACATTAGCTTAGACAATATCGCCAAGTTGCAGAAAAGTGACGCCGAACTTCATAATAGTAGACGATAGTCCTCCCTACAGTTGCAGGATATACCTATTCCTCTGTCTGATACAACTATCATCTGCGACGTTTCTACCGGCGTTCATCGACCTTTTGTTCCACAAAGTTGTCGAAAACCTTTATTTGAACATCTACATTCTCTGTCTCATCCTGGAGTACGTGCTACGGTTAAGTTAATCAGTGAGCGTTTCGTTTGGCCAAAAATGAACTCCGATATTCGGAGATCGGCACTCCAATGCTTGCAATGTCAAAAGTCCAAGGTACATCATCACACCGTCACAACTCCAAAGCAGTTCAATTTACCAGATAAACGATTTCAACATGTGCACATAGATATTGTTGGACCATTACCACCATCCAGAGGTTTTACACATATCCTTACAGCTATCGATCGATTCACTTGATGGGCTATTGCTTGTCCACTCAACGACATATCTGCAGAAAATACCGCTTTGGTTTTCCTAGATCGTTGGGTATCAAACTATGGAGTACCAACAACGATTACCACAGACCGAGGAGCTCAATTTCAATCAACTCTGTTTCGAGGGCTAACGAGACTCCTTGGAATGAACCACATCTCCACTACAGCTTATCATCCTGCAGCGAATGGTCTGGTGGAACGTTTCCATCGACAACTGAAAAGCTCTTTGATGGCACAAGCTGACTCATCTAAGTGGAGTGAACACCTACCATTAGTTCTCCTCAGTACCCGGTCAACTGTCAAAGAAGACTTGGGATGTACACCTGCTCAACTCGTGTATGGTACTACCCTCACATTGCCTGGTCAGTTAGTTCTTTCCAATGATTCAACTGATGTAAATATCTCTGATTTTACCAATCGTCTTACTCAGCAAATGCTTCATCTTCGACCAGTAGCCCCTCGCCAATCATTTCACAAAGCTCAAGTTAACAAGAATCTACTTACTTGCAAATTTGTATTTGTTCGCGTCGATGCCATTAGGAAAGGCTTACAACATCCATATGAAGGTCCTTTTCCAGTACTCAAGCGCACTGACAAATACTTCACACTGAACAAAAATGGTAAGCAGGAAACTGTTTCTGTTGACCGTCTGAAACCAGCGTACATGGACAGTGAATATGAAGCAATAGCAACGCCTGTACCGATAAATAATGAGAAAATCAATGCAACTCCTACACTTCCGCTCTTCACACTTCCCCCTGTTCAGACACGCAGTGGTCGGCAGATCTATAAACCTACCCGCTATGTTCATTTCATTGACTGACATAACAAGTACGTTAACCTTTATTTAGACATTCTCCTCAGTATTATTGTTGTTGACATTCCTTTCACTATAAACATAGACATTTATTAATATTATTATCACTAATTGTTTGTAGTTTATTAACTGTACTGCAAGCATATGCATTCACCAAGGATATATATATCTCTCCTTATATATGAATTTCTCAGAGGCTAACGACCACCTCATTGTTTATTATGTGCATAAATTTTTATTTAAAGTTATAACAAGTTTTGATTTCCTCTAATTCCTGAATTATGCTTGCATGTGCTAATCTTTCTTTGACACGGATGCATTCCATACATTTTGATGTTACTTTGTATCCTTATTATTGTTACTGTTATTTTTTGTTATCATTACTGTTAACATTATCAATTATTTATACTGCATATATTCATGTAATCATTCACCCTGACAGTCGCGAATAATCTACACCTTCCATTTCCTACCCTTCTTTCATTGTTTTGTTTGATTAACTCTTTTTATGATGTTTAATGTTTTTATAGATACTTCTTGCTTAATTTTTTTTCGCCACGGTGCTGGCTTTTTAATGTATACAGTCTATGTTCACATGAGTTGGATGACTAGTTTATCAGGAATATATTTGCAAACGTTGTATGTCGTTGTAGTTATATGTATAAAAACATTTTTGTTTACATGCATATGTCTTTCATTCTATAATCATAGTATATATATATATATATATATATATGTATTCGAGTGTAAGGTATATCTACAGGATTTGACTAGTTCCAATGCATCCTATTTATATGTAGTAATGGTTTTCACTACTACATTCATTAAGTGAAAACCTTTAAAATGGAGAGAAAAGATGGGAATATTTTTTTCTGTATTTAATAGTACAAATAAAAGGCAAAACTAATACTTATCAGTGTATTATGGGAAATGATTGTGTTTGTAAGCTTATCTATTTATCATAAAAGTGGTATGCAAATATACATACTAAGTAGGAAATCTAATGACATTGGACATCTCGAGCACCTTTATTTATTTATTTATTTGACGTAGTATATAACATTGACTTGAATGACTCATATCATGTCTGTTTAGAACATTAATTAATAACCAATCACAGGCCAGAGTTAAGCAGCCTAAATTTGAATTTAGCTACAGGCGTGTGAATCTTCATTCTTGTTATGAAGGTTCAAACATCCAACAACATTTGATTTCATCTATCATCTGTCAATATGTGGTATGAATACTGACTGACCGGAATAGAACAGTAAAATATTCAGTGTCAAATATTTTTATTCTAGTGGTGTAATATCTCATAAGTTATTTACTGCTCATGATACACATTCTATAACAGACAGATCATGTTTCAAATTCATAACTGCTATCATCCCAAAATGGTTGCTATTATATACCACTTATCATGTACTGCTGACATTTACATGTCACAAACTCGCTTCACTAGGTGGTTTTAGTTTCTAACCTTAAAAATTGATAACCAGCATGTTAAATATATACATGTCACCCTGGTAACTAAACTTGTCATAGCTATCAGACATGCATTTGGCATTAGCATCGCTATGCTGAGGGATTTCCTGTCGCTCACCAAGTGTATAACCAATCAGGTGTCGGTATTGTGGATAGGTGCTTTCCTTCCTAATTAAATGGAAACCTGATTGATTACTCATTTAGTTGCTGAGATATCCTTTAAAATCACTCAGAAATAGGAGGCAAGCACATATCTCTCTTTTTATTTGCAAATATTCATTCGCAGGGTGTTGAGTGATTTGAAGTTAGGTTACGAATCGACATCATTTCGAGAATTACTGAAAAGTTAGTGAGTACTAGAAAGATATTTTGCCCTAGCTGGCGACTCTTCACAGGATGCACTCTGTGATCGTTTGGTTATAAGGCAATCCTGTTGACCATTCCACCAGTTGAAGAGAACTCAGTGGTCCATGAGTTATAACTTGTGCTAATTCGTGACATACAGAACCAGCACCAGCCAATGTCATCGGTGAGCACCTGACCCTGCAGTCAACTTCTGTCACGATTTCTCACTAGAACTCTGGGAAACTTCATCCTGTATGAATCACTAGTGAGCATTAGATTAATTTTCAAGTTCTATCATTTTATTCGCCTAAGTTCACCAATTAATTAGAAGTTATGTAATGACTCATCGCCTTTAATTTTCTATATGAAAAGTAATCAAAATGATTAGCATAAAGCATCATATTTTACATATTCTCTTCATGCTGTAATGGAAGTTATTAATTGAGATTTGGTTAATAGATTAAGTGTTTTTAACATTTTTAGCTATCGATGGGAAATCTGTAAACTATAGTCCACAGAACACATCAACTTCACTATCTAGTACAAATGGAACATTAAATAAAGCTCAATCCAAAGACAGTATTACTGCTTATTCAAATTGTCTTCCTATGTCTAATTCAGATCAAAACGATGATCAATTTTTATATAATCAAATTCAAGATGATATCCTCATTAAAATATTGAATAAAATACAACAGTTAACGGCTAAACTTGATGCTGATGCTAATCCACCAGAGGTAATCCAAAATTGTCGTGCAATTCAAGCCTGTTTAGATACAATTAATGCAATAAAAAGAGTAAAATCAAATCGATCCGATGATGAGTGTAGTAGATCAGAAGTATCATTAGCCTCATACAATTCACATTTTACACATCATTTGAATTCACTAAGTACTAATTATTCTATACAACAGCACAATGGATTCTCATCATCATCATTATCAGCACCACCACCACAACAACAACAACAGCCCAGTGTTATTCAACCTTTATAAAAAATTTATTTTTCTATTTATACTACGGTTTTCGTTAGTAGCAGTATTTGTATCATTAATTTTATTTCCCAAAAATACCATGTACGTTCGGTTTTTAAAATAATAATAATAATAATATTTACGGATTCTGATTATTTTCATGGATTTTGTTTTACTTGCTATGTGTGTAATCTTAAGTATGTAGAGCCGTTATTGATGTTTACACAAATAAGCAAGCACTATTCAGTTTTCTTTTCATTATTCCATATTACCATTTCGTATTTAAATGCTGCATTAAACAAAAAAATTAAATAGAATTCTATGAAACAATGCTCTCAATATCATACATACATATATATATTAATGGAAACCGGTGAAGTTTTAAATTGTATGAAGTTAGCAGTATTTCTCTCTAATCCCTTTATAACGTGTGAATTATAGTCGACAAATGGTGTTGTTATCTTTGTTTGTCTAATGACAAAAAGTGATTTTCATGCTTAGTTTTGTTTCTTGCTTAGTAATAATACAATGCGTATCATTTTATTTTTTATAGTTTTTTAAAATGAATTTATATTTTTCTTCGTATTGTTTTGATATTTACATTTTGATTAGTATTTTCTGTGAATTTTAATCTTTTCATAATAAACCAGTATACATCTATACTTACATATACATATATTGGCTTAATTATTTTTCCCTCCTCACATTTCGAGTAGAATATGTATGAATGGTTTCAAGTGGTTAAGTTTCAGTTGTACTGTTGTTGGGTTATGTTTGCTGGGTGAGGAGGTTGCCAGCCTACTACCCTCTTCTCCAGCTTTACCATTATAGCTAGATGAGGTTTTTGAGTGCGTGGAGGTGCAGTTGGAACTCGAGGTACTCTATCTCTGATGAGCATGCTATCATTGAACTACTGCCTCATTGTACGCATTTCACCCTATTCGCGAACCGTCATCTGGATATATCCACAATCAAAAGTGTGTCATCACATCGCAAATCAAAAGCCCTAACCTTTTGAATTCCAATTTTTCTCCAAAAATATAAACAGCTAAATGTACCAAAAGTTTAGTTTAGAATTTTGAACAGTTGTACGTTGTGATTTATGATAGTAACAGGAAACGATTTCATTTCATTATTGTCTAGTAGGTTCAACAAAATGATCATAGTAAATGTGTTCTAGGATGTATTAATAAATTGTCTAAAGGAATGAAACGACATCAGATAAATAATACGAACTATACTCGTCATAGAGGTATTAATATTGATAAATATATTAAGAGTGACTACTGAGACTATATGAGATATATTCAGATTAGTGAAGTCATACAATACATATGGTTTGTGAGGATTGAAAAAGGATATAGCACGCGACACTACAGAATTATAACCCTCAGATTACCATCTGAGTTCGGATGCCTCTTAGACCGTACACTTACAAGAGAAAAGTCAAAGTTTGTGGCTCTTCGAGGTTTCAGTTGCGCTTCAATTACCACACTTTACCAATGAAGACTAACTGGTCAATTCAAAGATCAGTAGAATAATAAAAGTGATGAAAAATCATCTTCGAAGTGAAAGTTGAAACTATGGATTTACTGTACATCAGACTCGAAGTTTAATTACTTAAATGTAAAAAAGCTTTTAAAAGTGACAAGCAAATGGTCTCATTCAGTACTGGACTTATACATGACTAAGTTTTCTGCTCTTGGTCTTACCTGCAATGAGATACATGTGAACACTGTTAAGAATGTCCATTGTTCAAGAAGGCTGCTTATCTCGACTATCAACTTTTCATGCTAATTTGTTAATCCGAATTAGAGCATGTGATCCTGCTAAGATGAGGATTTGCGTAATTTAGTTCAGGCCGGGGTTCATAAATCCGAGCCAGTCACATCACTAATGCTCTTGACTAACACTAGGTAGCGCAAACTAAAGGAAGTGAAGACTTCGGTGGAAAAGTACGCTGGTCAATAGTGGGAAGTGACAAATTTATTACCACAGAAAAGGTTATTACTTGATTTAAATGTTTTTCCAACATAATTTCCTATCCACATAGATTCATGGGTTTCCATACATTATAAATCCACTATGAAAGGCTAGTATATGCTGATGAGACGAAATCCAATCATTGATTTGGCCTTCTCTTAATTAAATGGTGTAAGATCGCTTCCGAATGGTTATAACATGTCCCAACAAATACAGTGCAATGTGCATATTTTCAAAATTAAGAAACTGAAAGTAACCCCTAACAAGGACACTTAGATTGTTGAATTAGTGCTAGATTTTGCTGACCGACAATCCTTTTCCGAAATCCATGAACACCATATTTCATATTGTGTATGGAATGACGACGACTCGAAGTATAAATAATATTTACTTTCTTAATATAGAGGACTTCCCATTTTAAAATGTCTCTTTCGTTTCAGCTTGCTGGGTTTTCCGTTGTGGATCAATTGACATGTGCCGTTGTCATACAGCTGTTGAATAAGTACTCGAGTAGTTTTCAAATTACTTCGCGGTCAACGCTGTCGAAGGCCTTCTCAAAGTTTATAAAGTTGGGGTAGAGGTTTGATTGCCATTCCATGCTTTGTTCGATGATGATGCGTAGAGTTGCAATTCGGTCAGAACATGATTTGCCTTTGCTGAATCCAGCTTGTTCTGGTCGGAATTCTGCATCAAGTGCGTCCTCTATTCTCTCCAGGATGATGTGACTCAGAATTTTACTTGGCGTCGACAGGAGCATAATTCCTCGCCAGTTCTTGCAGAGTCCTAAGTTGCCTATAGCAATACTGTCATCCAACCAATAAATCAAAGGTCCTAAAGGAAATCCAAGTATTCAAGCGCCACAAAAAGCTTAACAGACAGTTTCTCTATAAACTTACAGGAGACTGAGAGTAACCAATCAATACATAGTGAGACTAACATTACCGCTACATTTAAGGAAGGCTTACATAAGGCCTTTCAAAATCTGAGCTCCCAAAGTCTACATTTATCAAGTAAGAAGTCAATAGCACCTTAGTAAAATGCCTCATTTTACAGAACGGTAAACGGTTCGTCAATAACTGTGTGGATTTTCACTAAGATGTGATATACCAAAGTAGATACAGCAAACTGATGAAGCTATTATAAAAATGCCTCATCGTTAAGTTAATGAGGACTACTTCAATGTAGCAAAGGATGGTATCTTCAGTTCTCGGAACTATTTAGACGAATCGCCTATATCTATATATGATAGAGAGGTGTATAGATGGAATCCTTTATTACAGAAACGTTAGAAACAGAGGTCTCTTCACAGTCGAAAGTTACTCAAGCGAGAATGGTACTACATTGTTGATTCTATCAGTCTGTCTATCTAAGACGAAAAACTTTAGGTAACCCTTAGTAAGAATTTTCTGGAACAACGAAATGAAGTGAATGACTTTATTTTGAAAAAAATATATGAAAAAAAATCTTTGGTTATTCTCCGTTACAGCAAATTTAGTAAACGGATCACATAGTAAAGTAGTAATGAACAGTTAATTGAATTAATTAAAACAAACTAAATTGGTTACATATCAGCCTGAATTGAACGAAAGCTTAAAGGGTGACGACGACGACGACGAAAAACATAAGGTGAGGTATTCTCGACACCATTCTCCTTTTCATCATCGTTATCATTACTCTTCCGTTGCTCCAACTCAAGATCCCAAAAACCTGTTGGCGTTGATGGAGGTCTGTCATTGAATGACCTTCCAGCTCTTACTTTATCATCCTACATTAAATTAATCATAGAAAATACAAAAGCAATTCAACACGATTGCAAAAGCATATCTCAAAAAATATGTAGAAAGCCAAATAAGCTTAGCATCATCCATTAAATTTCTCAGTGAAAATATGAATTTGTGTTGAATACTAACTGATTTTATTAAAAAAATTAAAGATAATCTAGGGAAATTTCTTAGGATCTAATAATGAAATCATGAAAATAACCAAAAGATGCTTGACATGTGTTATATTAATGTTAAATTAGAGAAAGTATAAAACCTATTGAACTCCTCAAGACGGTCGCAAATCAATGGAAGTTAAATACCTTCGTTATCTCACTTCCTATTTATGAATGAATTAATTGTAATGCTTTTGTCTGATGAAACGATACCTCGCAGTAATTAGGAGGATACTTTAACACCACTGAACGATGAATTGAAGACCATTTTGGAACATACAACGATCATCATAGTCTTTGTTTGCACAATTTCCACGATTATGAGTAGAAATTTTAAAAAAGCCATCAAATCGGCATTGTTAGCATGGGTGAATCTGATGCAACATCGTTAATTGGACACTCTGAAACACATAATTAAGCTACTACATATGACAAGGACATTATTTCTTATTTTGTTGACGAGAAACATCTTGGCTTCGTATACACCTCTTGAGTTTAGCTATAGAGCAGTAACGTCTACTTTGTGCCGCTCCAGCGGCTTCAATAACTGCTAATTTCGCCAGCCAAATTATGGATGAGACTTATACTGCAGGGGAAAATAGTAAATCTTAGCAACAAATCCCTTCTTTAAAATGCAATGACTCATATTTCTATCTTCCTCAAGTATTTTAAATTTCTCAAAATCATATCAGTAGGCCGACGATTATGTAGACTAATTGCCAGAAGGCGTTCACTGAATAGATTATTAAAATTTGTGATTTCAAGTAAGTATGCAACCTTTATTACCACTGAATTAACAGCCAATTATGTTAAGCACAAACTATATTATAATCAACTCCTCCAAAATATTCTGGATGTTTCATCATTTGGGGTTATTAAACATTTCATCAAATTTCTACGGAACAATTTAATAGGTACTTATTCATTTCCAGGCAGAAAATGTGTGGAAAAGAGAATTATCTAACCTTTAAGTGAGCTTCCTTTCGGTGCCGGTATAGAGAAGTTCTGCATTTGTACACACGATTGCAATGATCACAAGGATAAATATTCTTCGTAATATTTTCTTTCTTTGCATCTGCTTCCTCAGGCATATGATCCGCGTTAACCTAGTGTTGAAAGGAAAGTCTACATAGAGACAACTGATAATCCATTGAATATGACATTCTGTTGAATTTATTTCTATAATATCTACTAAGGAGGATATTTTCAATAATTGAAGGGAGTGATCTTGAAAATTCAGTGCTCAGGAAGATGAATAATACTACTTAATCATAACGACAAAAAATCAAATCAATGTACGCCTAACGAGATTTCACTATGTCAAAGTTCCCTAGAGAGCATGAAATTTTAAACACTTCTAGTGATCAAGTAACCATATTCCTTATATATGTTCCCAGATGTATTGAACACCAACGTTTTCAATGTTATCATCTGCAGTTACGTCGCTTTTTTCCTTTTGTTAGAAAATATCTAGTCCGAAGACCAAAGAAGACGCAATGTACGAGGTCGACCATTGGAATTAAAACGTAGGAACACTGCATGAGAAATAAAGGTGATTCAGAAAAAACGAAAAATATGCCAACAAGATCATCGTCCTCATTTTGGAATAAAAATATGTGTATTTGTTGTTGTCAAGGGGTAACCAAGGTATTGGTGTAGTTCAAACCACAGTTAAAACATAATAGGTTTTCATTCTGTCGCCACTTCCAGACCCTGTCAGGGATATTAATTTCGAAAACTAAAGAATAAGACAGCTTACTTTGGCATTAATATTCGAGGAAGAGTGAAGTATATTGTCCGCGAGATTTCCACATTTTACGGGTAATGGACACTTGAAACATGCATCGTCACGAGTGGGAGAACCACCAATGGAAGGTAAATGAATTTTCAACTTGAGTTTCATTGGGGACTCTGCAAATGTATAGGAAAGAGATGTGAATGTGACATCACTTCAACTATAAATCCTATCTAGGGTCAAGTGCCTAATCAACTGCTCGGGTTTTGCGTGAATAAAAAACACTTCAATTTCCTTTTGGTGTTTACCGTTCAATGCAGTAACATCACCACATATACATATATATATTACAGTTTTGCAACGAACTAGGTTAATTCTTTTCGAATAGTTTTGAGTAAGGCACTGGCACTATTTACATTCATGTACCTTAGGCGAACAGATGCTGGGAAATACACAAACTGTGTTTACAGATTCAGGTGCCGAAAGACAGAGTATTACTCCTTACATTCAGCCTGCTGGTATCAATTATTCAGGAAATATTAGGAAAACGTGAAATTCAATCATCTGGCCAAAGCTCATCTCATAAGTTATGGGTTACACTTAATATGATGTCTTATACTAATTGTTCAGGCAAATAAGATTAGGCACCTGTGGTCTATTGTTTCGATTTTGAGTGCATCACCCGTCGTCACGTAAAATAAGACAGACGGATAACCAAATCAACACAGAATATTGAAAAGTGTGTCATTACACTGCAAACAACACAAGAAATGAGGAGAAGTGTACCGATACGACGACGAACAAACATGTGTAGAAAACAAAATTTAGACTGATGGATTTTGAAACCTTATACTACGATTCTCTTACTACTGACTGTCAAATAATCCAAGGAGCAATCACATAACCTAGGCCTGGCTTAAGATGCCACAAAGATATCCGGAACTTCATTACGTAGCTAAAACTAGCAGCTAGACACTTCATGGATTACTGCTATGTTTGTCAAGCCTTCTTTAGAATTGCTTTTCTTCAACCTAAGTGTAACCTGATCAGTATTGTTCATTGAGAAATGCTCTGGATGAATATGCACAAAGAGAATTCATGAAGTAAGAAAAATATTAAAAAATCAGCTCAACCATAGGAAACTTAAAGGTAGCATTATAGTCTTACGCGAAGTGTTCTAACCTAAAAACAACGGTTTGAGTAAAATAAGATGGTAACATTTACTTTTTTTAAATCTGGATACTTTGAAAAGGGGGTTACGTAAGAAAGGTAAAGGATGGATAAGTTGATGATACGTGACTGTTATATTGCGTAATGTGATGAGTTCAACTCAAATAATATTACAAAAAGAAAACCAATTATAGTATACCAAAACCGAAGAAGTTAAAGCAAAAGATTACGTAATCAAATATAACAGAGTTAAGAATTTGAGTTACCAGGGCGAAGAATTTTTATATATATATATATATTTTTTAATATTTTTGATTACAGCTTGATTCCACACCGTATTTTTTTTTGGTACAGGTATGGAATTTTCAGCATGTGATACCGGTAGCCCAAATTTTGCAGGCCGACCATAGATATCAGGTGTGCGTCGGCAGGGGATCGAACCCCGAACCATGTGCATGGTCGGCGAGAGTCCTAACCACTGTGCCACCGACGCACAAGAAAGACTGATTACTGCTTCTTTCTGAACGCAAAGCAGGTTTTAAACATTTGGTAGCAGTAGCTTCGACAGACCTGATAACTTTGAGATATTTACTTCATGACTGTTGAAAGCGTTACCTCCCTTGAGTCGTAGGCTTTTCAGTAAATATTCAGAGAACCTAAAGTGTGCTATCTTTCTTTTCTACAATATAACTGCTACTAAAAATACAAGTAAATCTGAATACAAAGTTAGAATTAACATGGGGAGACTAACTACTGACCTGTGATTGCACCAAAGAGCATGTCCCTTGGTAAACAGGATCCAACTCAGCTGTAGATTAGTTTATGTTATGACTAGTGAAGTGTTCAATCTTCTCTTGACTGGCCCAATAAAATTATCACCTTTAAAATCACCGTGATGTCTTGCAGTTATATCTTCAGACCTTACTTACTTATTAATGAATTCCTGTGAATAACCGTTATATCTCAAAATCCACTATTTTTTCCAATTTTTCAATGGAGCATAATCTTCACTCTGCAAAACACGGTTTTGACATATGCTAGTTTACAGTTCACCGAACAAAAACTAGTGAGACTTATAAATTGTTCATTCCACGCAGACTTTCACTGAACGGATCTCTCAAGCACTGCACGGCAAAGTCAAGAAAATGCAACTTCCCATTACCTCAGTATTTCCATGTGTATCACTGAATGGTCCAAGTAGATAGGATGCATAGGTTCCATTGTCACGAATGTGTTATCAACACATCGACGATAAGCTGTTTCGTCGATTGCACATTTAAGCTTTGTTCTCTTTAAATTAAACATGGTGTTTGTTAATGCAGGACCTAGTGAATTAACCATAGCTATATCATCTACTTGACTGTAGACAGTATTATCAAATCGGAATAGCACATCCTTGTTACACATCAATTAGTAGGGGTTTAAATTCCAGCACTTGTACAAGAAGAAGTCCAAAATGCTAACAAATAATAAAGATGGTCTCATGAATCAGGATGCTTATGATCCAGAGTTACAACAAATAACAATATGAACTGATTGGAAACGTTATTATGGCCCAGGCTTTCAACTAACTAAAATTTATCATTCACAGTATATGCAGCCAGTCGTTAACGAATGATTAGGAATCTTCTTTGCAGGTTAATGAACGAAGCATCTGATTTTTTAAAGTTATATATAAGTTAAAAAAATTAGTCCCTTTGATAAATTTGAATAATGCATTTGTCTTCTACATGCCTTGGAGTACAATCTATGATTACAGCCTTCTATAAACTGACATCATATTGCCTTCGCAAGTACGTTAAAACCCCTCTGCATACATGCCTAATAATTTTTCAGGCTGTATCCAGCTGTCAAGAAACGGGCGAAACAAAATTATCTTATTCGACTGAAACCGTTGTTTGCTTCACTCAAATTCATAAAGGGGAATAGGTGAATGAAATAGCCCAACTATTAAAATACGCCACTGAGAAAATAAATATGTATACATACCAAGTTAATTCACTGGAAGATCAAGTTATCTGCATTCCCAAACAAACTTACCGTTGGTTACAGACGTCGAAGGAAGAGGATTTTCAGATCCTTCTGTCTCCAGAAAGGCAGATGGAGAACTTACGTCGTCAGCTGTATCGTCGCACTTCGGCTTGGTTCCAACAGTAGGGCGAAAGTGACGACAGGAAGGTCGGTGTTTGTGTTTCGCCTTAAAACCACTTGCCGATAGCTTGTTAATAATTTTCTGTGGGGCAGACTCAGCGCCGACGGGCCTGCTTCGTCTTTTGTATAAAAGCTGGTGCCTAGGAACGAACAGGAACCCATTTTAATAAAGGATTTAAATTTTTTTCGAAATTTTGGGTAAATTGTTCCAATGAAATGTAACTACACCCGAGTAAAATATATATGAAATATTTTCACAAAAGTATTTACACAGAGAATAGGGATTTATGGATTTAGGAGTGTAGGTTGGAAACTGTTGTAATTCGTTTCAATGGTGTAGCCAAAATACCGTAATCTTACACGCAGAAACGAATCTAGTAGGCGAAACACGAATAAAAGTTTTTTTTTGAAATTATCACGAAAATTTCCTTACATAACATTTTGGTAGAAAATACACCTCGCACAAGAAAGGCACACAGTTCAGCGACACAAGTCAACTGATATCAACTAGAAGTGCACGGTAATTGCAGGTCACCCAGCTTGGTGACCATACTGCAAACCCGACTGAGAGAATTCAGTCAGCACCAACACAAAGTATTAGACAAACAACATTGGTTACATCCAAATAGCCAATTAATGTATTCATATAATTTCACGTTCTTCCTTTGGCATTCCCTGAAATTTAATTATTCCTTTCAATGTGAAATTTCATAACGACAATTAAATCAAACACTTTCCAAACATCATTACCTCCCAATTAAATACACCTATTCAGGCAAACAAACAAGATTCATTCAAAATCGTATGGTGCAATAAATCAAGATATACAACTACAATCCATGTTGTTAGAAGGTAGGATTAGTTGTATAAGTGTTGATGAGTAAATGTTTTTTCGTCTACATACATTTTCCGCTGAACACAGATTCTAGATTGTCCTCGATGAGTGCAGATTCCCTGAAGTCTCAGTTGGGAACAACTATATTTACATATGCACTAACTTACAAACTAGTAATCGCAATAGCCATATCTTGTTTGATTTTCAAACCTCAAACTTTTACAATTCAGACATCCTATTTAACCAAAGAAAAATGCTTCGTGCAATATAAAACTTACGGATTCAGCTTTTTTGGCAATTGTGGTTGGTCTTGCATAGAAGAATCTCGACATGTAACATCGTAATCTGCCAAATCATTGTGGTTTACGGCATTTTTAATCGCTAAGGAGGCATCGTATATTTCTGAAGGTGGACTGAGTGAGCCTACGGGAAACACACTATTCGTTAGTGTTGTTGATTCGGTGTTAGATGTTTCATCATGCTGACTTTGATCAGCTTCCCCAGATGGGGATTTACGAGTGCCTACAAGGAAAAAATCGTCTTTACCTCTGATCGGAAAACTACACACTTTCGATGTACAATAACAAACTCAAACTTGAGAAGAAAATACGCATTGCAAACCACTATGTAAAAGCAGTTCATATGAAGTGCTAAAATCATTTTCCAAACGACTTGAAATCAAGAAGAAATACAAATTCCCAGGTCATTAAAATCTTGTTTGAAAGTAAGTTTCAAGGCAATGAGAATCCTGTTTAGTTCAGAAATGGAAAAACGCCATCTTGTCAATTTACGGGACTAAATCGATACGATATTTTATGGATACCATAATATTACCTGTGATCAAACCCAGATTGTCTCTGTTGGTTAAAGTAATATCCATGACAGATACTCACTGACTTCAACGTAGAACTTTGCACAGATGTGCACCAGTTCGAGTTGCCACACTCCATGTAGCACACAATGCAAGAGAAGACAGTAAAGAGAAGTGTGAGGGGAAAAGAGGAGTAATATGGAAGATGTGATAAATCACAAAGAGTGAATGCATCCGACCATGACTATGTTAGTACATCTATGATGAATTTAAATAGGAATGGGGACAGTGGTCACCTGTCACGGGCACCACTGGTTGTCTTCACTTCAGATGAAAACTCTCCATGAATCCTCACACAGCTGCATGAGTGTGAGCAGAGTACCTTGGGCGGTATGATGTACTTCCTTCGCAATCCCTTCACTGGCAAACACTGTCATTATACCGCTCGACTGACAGAATCAAATTCAGCCTTCGGGTCAAGAAATACGGCCCATGTTCCATAATCTCCCGAAAGGCGAAAATCTGACCAATATAACCTCTTCACTGGTTTACTCGTGTTTGTTTCTCCCGAGCACCCCCTAATCTACGTATGAATATTGGGCCTAGAACCTTAGATACCATACTAGTCAAGCCAATCCCTCTATGATTATCAAAGGAAGACTTGTCTTTCTTTTCGTATACGGGTCTTAGTTAGAGACAGACCTGTTGGTAAATTGCAGTGTATCAAAAGATTGGTGTTTCCACTAGGCAGCTAGCTATGCTGGTTCCTCACTCTCGAAAAGCATTAGAAAAGGTCAACACAACATATCTCATAACGGTCAACAGTTACAAGTATATTCTTAATGGATGCAACTTTACAAACGCTTCAAAACAGGGCGCATGATTGGTCTACAGCAGTTACCTGGACTATGTGATCACACAACACTAGTGCTTTCTCTCATTTAGATAATTCAATAAGAAATCATCTGCTGTGTCAGCAGCTAGGAAGTAACAACATAAGTGAACAAGATTTCTATTTGCAACCTAATTTAATCTTCATGATATCTTATGGGGATTAGTTGATTCTCTACTTAGTCCTCGCAGACTTGCTGCTACTGTGATAGTATTGCGATCGCAAGCTGAAAACTCCCTACTCGACTGCATCCCACTGGATAGCTGTGTGCACGTCGTCTGGCTTAATGAATCTATACTGATAAGATAGTGCTTTCCATGGACATCTTTCCACGAACTAACAGCAGTTTCGGAAGGGAACGATGAGTGTTATCAGAAGCTGCCTACTTTGTTGCCAAAGCCGAAACACTGAAAAAGGAAATTTGAACCTCCTCGAAAAGTATACCGGAGCATCTGTTACGGCTTGTACTGAGGAATAATCAATGGTGACTGTCTTTTTCAAATTTATTCAGATGACTACTTATCACTGGTCAGCAATAATATCATGCACAGACAGTATTTCATCTGGCGACCACCCATATTAGGCTAACGACGGCAAGAAGTAAACCATCTGTAGGTGAAGAGGATTGCCGTTCATTCTAAAACATAAGCTTGAACCTCAATCATTTGTTCATCCGTGCACATATATGTCGGTGGATGAACGGACACGGAAAACAAGCAGTTGAGAGACTCTTACGTGCCTCAGGAATCCAGATATCATACCTAGATTACTTCAGAGAATGTTAAAGGCTGCTGGTAAGCTGTAGGCAAAAAGTAGAGAATGTCACTAGGTATCTGAAGCTTTGCCTGGACTGACTGGTTCCTGTAGGCTCCGGACGTTGAAGAGCGTCGAGAGCTTATCAAATGAAACCTTATGAAAAGTTTTCGTAACGACTGCTGGTACTGGTGGATGAGGAAAGTGTAGGAAATAGAAACGGCATCAGCGATAGGTAATACCCGTTAACCGTCTAAGCTCATTTAGGGAAATGGGCACTAAAATACCTATAGTCAGTTAAGCTGTTGTTTACTGTTTTAGGCGCCCGACTAGCAACCACTAAGTCGCGAATTTGAATCCCGCAGCCCACAGAGAGGCTTGAGCAGGAAGGTAGTATGATTAGTCGTCATACAATAGGGGTATGCCAACTGCATGGAAACGCAAGTGGAAGTTGTATAATATTTCCTTTCTTCATTCATGGGAAGTGGAGTGAGATTAGAGGACGATGGAGAACTAATACCTAAGATGAGAAAGCTGGAACATCGTGCAGTATGCAGACGATTAGTAAGCAGCTGTACTACAACTGCCCGCCATCAAAACCCCGTCTGAGTTTCCTCTTAGTGTAGCGTAAGTCGCAAAAGCCATCTCTGATCTAGGAGGGAAAGCAGCGGAAATTTATACAGTAACATGTATACAGTTACACTACATATATGTATATCTGCGCATATATATATATATATATATATGTATATATATACTGGCGTAAGCGTGATATCCAGTCATCCATCAGCTGAGGTGTCGCTGAAAGCGGGAGGTAAAATATGACAAGCAGTTATTAACAAGAGGACCACATTCACAATCATTTTGGGTGGAGCAACATGGTTAGTCATAAAGAGGCTACGCGTAGTGTTAGGTAAGAAGGGAAAGTCCTCCAATGAAGTCAAAGAGCTCGAGTCACTAACTTTCCTGACAAAGTTAGCTGAAATACACTTTTTCCTTAGTTTCATGTGTACTTTTCTAGAGTGTGCGATTTTGTGCATGGATTCGCGCTGATGAGTCAACTCGTCTTAATTCTGCTGGTTCTGATAGAAATGAAACTGAACACCACGACATTCTGTAATGTTAAGTCGTAGGCTTTGTTTATTTAGCAAATATCAGGGCTTACAGGAAATAATCACCTGCATGCGATCACATTAAATTAGTTTAGAAAGCTCTCACCAGACTAGTTATTTCAGTCTTGTTATCCAACTGCGAGAAAGGTGGAAAACCACAGAAAACTGCCGAGGAAGTAGTTATCGAAAGTCAGTAATGTAGAGTGTAATGAAGTTTCTGTTCGAATGAATATCTGATACAGTAAACAATAATGCGTATGAGTAAAGTACTTACCAGTAGGTGTTGTGTTGACATGGTTGTCCAGGATACTCTCCGTCACAGTGTCTTGGACACATGGGCGTTTCTTGATTGGTTGCTTGATACTGCTGCTCGAGGTCGAAACGGATGCACCATCTGATGCTGAAGTCTTTCAAATATCAAGGAAAAATTTACGAGCACAGTTCAGCCATAATTTTCAAAATATGCAACTTGTCAGATCACAACTGTTATGAAAACAACTACATATTTTCCTGGGGCATACGTAGGCAGTTCTCATGCACTAGTTACTACGAACGTTTATTCTCACCCAAGTGCACACAAAAGAAAAACAGATGAGAAGTTCGAATGGGCTTATTTTGATAAAATGAATATTAATACTGGATTCGAAGAAACGATCAGTGGTGAGACACAACAGTTATTGGTCTTGGAGAAGTCTAGCATTACTCCGTCTACTGTTTCTCGTCTTCCAAAAATAGCTAAATAAGACCTATTTCTGCATCTTCTTGAGAAGCAGCAGATACGAAAATGTATTTCTGTAAGCTTAGATGACAATGAAGTAATAGGGCAGGTTAGTTGTAGGCTGAAAACAACTTATAAACGCAGATTGTAAGTAGGGAAAACCAAAGAAATGAAAAATGCAGCGCAAGTAAGGTCACAAAGTCAATTCAGTTACTAAGAAAGTTAGAAAACTAAGGGTTAGCAACATGGGTCAAAGTCCCCTTGCAAGAGAAGAGATTGTAAAATAAACAAGCTGCTTAGAGGAAGAATTCAACTCGATCTTAGAAACAATACAATTGTCACCTGTTTATCCGCATATTGAAGGGATGTTTGACAAACAACCTCAACTTAAGTTGAAAATTAAAAGCAGCAAGGCCTCCAGGTTCATTTTAAGAACTGTTTTTTAGAAGTTGGCTCAGGATTATCAGACAAAATTATTGCAATTTTAGTAGAAGCATACGAGTTGGGCATTAGTTGCAGTTTTCTCCGCTACCCTCCTACCTATATTCATGACGTCCACTTCAACTAATTATAATTGCAATCATTTTGTGCATTTCCGTTTAGTCTTATTCAAGGTGAGAAAATTTCATCGATTTTGTACAGTGGTCTTACATCTTAATTTTGATATTCACTTTACTGATTTCTGAAACATTGTTTTTCTTAGTTCCATAATGGAAACGACTTCTGATTATCACAGGTGATCTACAGAATTAGTCATATGAGTGTAACAGGCACTGCACAAGGAAGGATGTGAACGGGATTCACATTACCGTCGGTTGTTACTATAAATCTGCACTACTCAATACTACCGCAGTCGTATTGATGTATTTGAGTGGCACAGAACTTCTGTCCGATTCACACATATATGAATAGACTTACAGAGGGAGATAGCCATATAAACGGGAAAGGGTACTACAGTAACTAATTTAGACAAAACAGCTTACATTCAAATGAGGACGTTTATGATTTAAGATGGACTTTGTTTTGCATCTCTCAGCACCCAACAAGTCAGCTGTGACATTGACTGTTCGGGAGCATACAGTGCACATAGCTCCCCCAGAAGAAAAGCTTTGTACTTGGCGACCTAAGAGACTTAGTATTTTTAAACTTGACTTACGCAAACCGCATATCTCCATTTCTTTGCCTTTCATGACATCCTCCATGTGCTTTAACGATCTAAGAACATAAGTGTATTGAGGAGTCTACCTTTTTAAAGATTCGTTCTCGTCCTGCAGGCGACGGACTTCGCTGTCAACACCTAGAGGATAATCAAAAAAGAACTCCATTACTAACCATTTTGAGCTCGTTGAAATTGTCTTCTGATTCCTATAAGCACTAGATATCACCACAAGTAAATCTTACTAGAAACAGAGGCAGAAACTTCCTTAGATAATGAAGTCCGTAGACTGATCAATGACCTGATAGAAGCACATTCCAACTCTTTAAATTTGTCATCCATATTTAGTAATATAACCAGCGCCACAAGGTATGACTTCTGACAAGCGATTGTATAAAACAACAGTAGACCTTAAGTCCCATAGTTCGATTGAGGAAATAAAGAAGTGTATATAATTTAGGTTTCAATTCTTTAGATTTGAAAGGTTATTTCCATGTGGCTGGCCAGAATTTCGCCGCCAAAACTCAGAAGGGCTTGTGCTTTAAAAGACATTATTAGTGGTGGCTGCAGATGTGATACTATCGTATTTCGATACAAATATCTAAGGATTGACTAAACCATCCACCACAAAGAATATCGTGCAATGCGAAATTTTCAAGAAATCACATGATGAATTTAAATAGGTTAGGAATTGTTACCGTTGGATTAATACTTTTGCAATTTCCTGGGTCTCCGAGTAGAACATAGGGCTTCAACGGCACATCCTCACTTAGTCCCATTCTCTGTAGTCGTCTCCAAATGGATCCACAACTGCATATGGTCCTTCATCTCCTCACATGTTTACCCTCAAGTCACTCTCGGACTCCCAGCTAGTCGTCTCCCATTCGGGTTTCACTCGAGGGCAACACAAATGATTGCACTCAGTGGTCTCTTCAGTGTGTGTCCGATCCATCTTCACTTTCCTAGCCATATTTGTTGGATATTAGTTTCAAGATGAGTCTGCTACTAGGGTTCTCTGTCGCTTATCCTTCCAGCCACCTGATCTTCATTCTGAAGCGAAGACAGCTATTGATGAAATTCTGAAGTAGGCTGCTGGAAATGTGTTTCGTGACGCGCGAATTCTCAGACCCATGTAAAAGAAATGGATGGCAATTAGTGTTGAAAATCCGAATCTTGTTCTTTATGCTGACTGTATCAGATTTCTGCACTGATTACATACTGATGAAGGTCTGTCTTGCTTTTCTGATCTTGCCTTCCGCATCCTGATTTATGCCGCCCGTAGTTGAACCGATACTGCCTAAATAAGTGAAAGAGCTGACTTCCTTCGGACTTCTCCCGTTGTCAGTGATTGGTGTTTGGTGGTATTGGTTAGCTTTCTTTATCACCTTCGTCCTCTTAATGCTTATTTGAAGTCTTGTGTGTTCTCTGTTTTTTCTGCTCACTCGCTGGTATACGACTGTAGAGCTTCTTGTTTTTGTGACTTATACTGTAGTTATAATGTTGTAACAAGAGCGTAAACTAAGCCCTTTTTGTATCTGTTGAGAGGAGCGTATCTATTCTGAAACGGATTTGCTGACGGCTATTTCCCCATTAAGTCTTTGATAAATGTAATTTTAACAATTTTCACAGCACATAAATCAATAACAGACCAGATGTCTGCAAATTAGTAAAACGCTCCACTGTTTTATAGTATTAATAACCTAAGATACAAACGTTTTTCTTCCGCCGTCACTCCTCTACCAGATATTTGCAGAGAGATCATCTCGGTATGTATCCAAAGCTCACACTCAGGAAACAGGTCGATATGTGCTGTTCAAAACCTCTGGCAAGCCTTGGAATAAACGTAAGTTCATGGTCTTAAGCATGACATGTTTTACTCATTCTTTGTTCAGTTCAGCATAGGGCTACTCAATGATCCCGAAACCTTTGTGGAAAGTCGAGCAGGATTCAGACTACTCTGCAACTCCAAAAATAATTAGAAAGGCATCTATGTATGAGATGAATCATAAGTACCTTACAATTATTGCTTGTCATGATCTAAAACGTAATACATGTTGTAAGAGGAGAGACACTAAGAAATTCTAAGTTTTGTTGTAACTCAGATTTTGTAACATTGCACCTGGTATATTTAAAATAAACACCCTATTCCCTATCTAATGGACATGTGACTGAGGAAAGCCACAAAGTCGTCGGAAAGAATATTCTCTGTTCACTAGTCAGTTAATTGAATTTTTCAAATTTTAATAAGGTATCACATCCTCATCTGCAGTCTTCATTCTCCCGAATTCACATACCCGATTATAAAGGTACATGAAGAATTCAAGCAGCACTGATAGGTATAATTTTTATATCTGAAGGACATCTTTTAAAATTTGTATAGCTAAAATTACTTGTTTGGCTTGATGTTGCATCAGATACGCTAAATATATGAATTCGGTGGCTGTGTACCACACATTATATAACCTCATCAAAGTGAGATGACGATTGTTCCCAACGAAGTAGCTTTTGGAAGCGGCTTTCGCAGACGTGTTTTTCGATAGAAATATACAGCTGGAGTCGAACTTATCCGCCACTTTGGTTGAAATTCCTCATGGTAAATTATTTTGTCGATACGTTGTAATAAAATTGTGTTATATGTATTCTAGATTGATAGGAATTCTCATTTGCTGACTAGTCATGATGGTGTCCGCGTCATGTAATCTGACTGCGGCACACTCTTAGCATATTGGTTGCAATGATCAGTGTTTCAGGCGGACTGTGTCAAAATATCGTTATAATGAGGAGGATTGGATAGTTGAAGGGCAATGTCATCTACACAAATAATCTACTATATGTAAAAGCTGCACCTTTCGGCATAGTATCATTCAATGAAGACTTCACGTCTCAGGACGTCACTGCGGCCTATTTTCGTGTGAAGAACAGTACTATTTGACAAAAGGAATGCTATCAGTACATGGAAATCACCTATAAATGCTAACAGAACCTTCTGTGGGAACAGAAGTTATCATGTAGATGTGTCTTACTGTACACATGTTTGGACAGGAATTATCGTAAGTTGAGAGGTTATCTCCAAGTGGATTTAATGTATATATACTCTCTGGTGCAATGGATTAAATATATAAAAATATCCCAAATTTATTAATATTGTGCAATTGTCTGGTAGGATCACTGCTAGGCCTACAAATGTGGGTGGTTCTCATTATTGCTGCAAGTGCAGTGCAGTGGAGAATGCGATTACTCGTTTAATTTTACTCATCGTTTCAGCTTATACTATTATTATTCATATGCATTGTGTTGATTATGGGAACTGAATCTAGTCAGCTCTGTCATTATCAATTCACTGTCTGTTATGCCATTCCCGCTGACACTGTATACTTAATGCTGCAATAGTTTTGATCACCAACAGTGGCGATGAATTTCTCCTGAAATTTCCAATCACATGATGCAGTATCACGACTGAATGTCTAGGTTGTATTATATGGCGTTGTTATCCTCATCAACACAAAGGGTCTGTGTATCTTTGAATATTTTAAGTGTTTCTCTATGCTGTCAACACTGTGCATGGCTTTTTAGAGTTGAGACATGCTCAGTTTATGTTTGATTGCTATAGTTTCCTAAATATGGGAATGTAATTTCGGTGGGATTCACGAAACCATGTTCACTAGACATTGCTGAGATTGTGGAATAATTTCTAAGTTACACATTTGAAATACTTCTTTTAATGCAAGTGTATTTATTGTGAAGTTGGTCTGCAAGTAATCTTGATGAGAGAATAAAAGCTTAACAGTATGGATTTTCCACAGATTGTCTTGAAATTCGCGTATAATCCTCTAATGCTGGAAAACGCATGTGGTCTATTCATGCATACAGCGTCAATATAAAAACCAACTGTGAGCTACAAATACTTTTATTTGTATGAGAATTTTGTTTAGTATTAACAGACTCAGTGTATTCGTATCGCATATTAGTATATAAAATTATCTCCCATAACTTCATGTTGTGCTTCATGATTTAGTTATATGAAGTTCGTCGAACATGAAATCGGCGGAAATGTCAGTCGGTCAAACTGATGCTAATACTCCTCATCAAAATTTCCTTTTGTAAATTAATGAAATGTTTAATATACTCTGAATTTCTACTTCCTCTGGACTTCCTCAATAAGTCGCTATACTTTGTGCTTTTGTAATATGTGAATTCAGTCTACTGCGTGTTAAGCCTAGTTAGTGCAACTGAGATTTACTATAGTATTATGAGACTGTTACTTTAGTCATTCATAAGATTTCGCTTCTGTTTCTGTACAATATCACGTTGTAAAAACTAAGTAGGACCCAGCAAGTTGAATAATAATTCTGCACTGTTCGACACTCTAAAGATGCCTTGTTTAGCTAGTTGCGTGTCTGTATACTGTTAAACGCCAAGTATGCAGTTCAGGCAAGTGTAGTAACTTAGTGTTGATAGCTACTTCATTATTCTGTTAATATGCATTGACATCATCAACTAGACTGTTTACCTGGCGACGAGCTGAGAGACAATTTTTATTTATTAACAATACGCCGCTGAATCATGTGTTGTTATCTAATACTCAACATGTTTATGATCAACAACTGCAGCATTTGCATATCTACCTTGTTGATATTAAATTAACCTTATGCATCTGATTACAATCAGTGTGACAACAGTATTCCCTACTCATTTGATGTGTGTACACTACACAAGTCTCTCATACAATCTCCCACGAGAGCCAAGCTTTCTAGTGTCACAAGTGTTAATGAAACTTGCTTCCCTGGTTTCAATACAATTGATGTTCTAAAGTGTCTCCAGTCACTGAATCCTTCTTGTAGCCTAGGACCAGATTGTTTGCTCAGCGTTTTTCTCAAAAAATATGCAGATACCTGTAATCCCTTCGTCGACATACTTGATGAGTCTTTTTCCAGAAATATCGTGCCAGCCGTTTGGAAGGACATTAAAATTGTACCTATACCTAATTCATCTACTGGAACATGTATTAAATTTAGACCTATTGCTATTACCTCTCCTTTTCTAAAAACTATGGAAAAGTTACTCTTACTTAACCTTAGATCTTCACCTAAAGCTTTTAACGATACCAAACAATTTGCCTGCAAACATAGTAGAAGTACTTTAGATGCACCTGCAGTCTTGCATCATAACATTGTCTCCAGTTTAGACAAAGGGGCTAAGTTTGTTCGCTGCACTTGCCTAGATTACACATCTGCTTTCGACTCAGTAACTGGGAATATTTTGTTAAGTAGGCTTGCTGAAACTCAACCTGAGTGTCGGGTTGCCAAATGGCTGCGTTCTTATTTCTCAGGAAGAAAGCAGTACACTGTATACCACATGCAGGTATAATGTTTATGAGCTAGGTACGCGAAAC